ACTGCTGCTGCTATATAGCGCTGCTGCACTTCCATGCTCGAGCCCTCGTGCGCCTCCTTGCCGCTACAACACATCACAGCTCGAGCAGGCGGTGAGGTACAGTGGGTTGAGCAGAGACAAAAGGAAGCTTAGAGAGAGCCGTTCAATACGTCACAAGACCTGTCTTCTCACGACGCTAATTTCGCAAGCGCTCGTGTGCCATTGCCCAGAGCTTCGCACCTTCAATCTGAATGAATGGATGGCGTCGGAGCAATGTGAGCCCCGCCGAAGCGTGAGTCTCGAGTCGCGTGTGTGTTGGTTGGGTGGAGCATGATTACATGCAGACTTGGAAGGGGACGTGCCCTCGGCCCGCTTAAGGATGCCTATAGCTCAGACTCACACGAGCAGCCAAGCCGAGCTGCATTCGCGATTTTTTCCACACTTTTGCATCGCTTGTCCACTCAGACTCGTGCAAAGGAAAGAGGTGCAAGAGTCGTGAGTGAGTGATGCGCCCAAGCAAGCATGCGCAACTGCTCGGCTGCCCAAAAAGTCACAATGCTTGTCGAGCGCGGCCTCTTCACAGGGCCGTGCGCTCGTATGGCAACCAATCTAAGAGGAATGGATTGAAGCATCCCGCGTCTTGGAGTGCTGCTCGAGTGCCTGATCAAGGTATGGCAATGAGAAAAAGAGGGGGACCCACGCCAAATCGATCGAGGTTGCCATTTCCCGGGTACATGGTCGCTATAGAGCTACTTCCACTTGACTTTCTTTCCAGGTTCCGCGCTACACCAATTAGCTGCGTGATCTGGCCCCCCTCCCATCAACCCTCGCACTTGCGACTCTCTTCAGAGGTGCATCAGTCAGAAAGAGCCTCTCGCCTTGGACGCTCACCCGCACCACCACCACCATCATCATCATCATCATCATTACCGACCATCTTGCCTATGATCACGTCTCGTTCCTCCCTGTGAGCTTTCAAGAACTACATCACGCATAGCCATTCACACTTGCATCACTTGATCAAAAGCGGAGTGTCCACTTCTGACACTTTGAGAAAGATGTCGGGCTCTTCCCTCCTCGAGAGGGTAAAGCTTACGGGTGTGCCATCAAGCAGCACCCTCCTCTCTCCCTTGCTAGGCGAGCACCTAGCCAACTCCCACCTCATTCACGTCCTCAGCTGGATCTTCATCAGTCTCCTCTCTCTCACACTCATCCTTCGCTTTGTGCCGGGTATCAAGACGGCCCTCTCATTCGCTTACCACTGCTTCTTGGCACCCATCGGCAAGAGCACCAATCAGAGCGAGAGGCTGGATCGTTTTTACGAAGGTCAAGCTGGCGGTGAGTTGGCCAGCCGTTTGTTTGATGTTCCCGCTTCCCTACAACAACGGCTCCTTTGCATCGCTGCAATACCCCAGCTTTGGTCCCAGTCCGGGTCGCAGAAGTGATACGATACGTTGAGGGATTCACGATTCATTGATTGTGTCGGCTTGGCAAGCAGTAACTCGTAACTTGGCCATTTGCGAGCGATACCAGCCTGTATAGGCCACAC